TAATGAGAAACTGTTTGTTCTGTAAACCTTCACCTAAAGTACAATAAAAAAAATTTTCAAAACAAGTTGAGTAAGAGCAAGTAAACTGAAGCACTCGACTAAAGTAAAATGGCTGCCTTCTCGTCTTTGCCCCTGCTGCTAAACCATCTCATCAACATCACAGTAATAGGATTTACAACACACATGAAAATCACATCAGATGACAAAATGGTGGAAAATCATACAATACTGGGAATCATGGCATAGCCAAATTGACAACGCATATTTTGGGGGGACATAATTTAATCCATGACAATGGTGCTAATGCTGTTGGTTTCCTGACAACATTTTTGCATAGCAAGAGATTAGGGACTTCCACCCAGACAAATCAGAACTGAGACCTATGACTGTGAAACAGTAACAGAAAGCAAACAGTTCCTTTCTCATCCGCAGGGATCGTCTTCATGCCAGGGACTACCCAGCTGACAGCCAAGGACATTCTCTACCGACTACAAAAGTCTGAAGCCAAGGGCATTGTGACCACAGATACCCTTGCCCCAGAGGTGGACTCTGTGGCTTCTGAGTGCCCCTCTCTGAAAACTAAGCTCCTGGTGTCTGATTACCGCCGTGAAGGGTGGTTGGACTTCCGGTCACTGGTCAAGTGAGTTTCTGGTCACTTAATGATTGTGCTGTCTGCAGTCCGGTGGGAGAGGCCATCTGCTCCCAAGTGCTGGGAGACAGGAGGCCAAGTGATGGGAAGCACAACAGGTTGGAGGCCAGACTGTCTGAGTTTGAATTCTGGCTCTGCCACTTGTTAGTGCTATGTCTTCAGGCAAGTTATCTAACCTCTCTTAGCCTCAGTTTTCTCTTCTGCAAAATGGGAATAAGAGCAGTAACCATCTTTCAGGGTTCCTCTGAAGATTAAAGGGGTTCATAATCATAAATCACTTAAAGCATTGCCTGGGACAGAGTAAGTGCTATTTAAGTATTTGTTAAAATTTTTTTATTCACTGTATTTCCCGCATTTTTCAAATGAAGAACTGGAAGTCCACTTGTTCAAATTACCCCTAAAGTCACTGTGACACCTAAGACCAAGAGAACTAGTTTTTCCTCCAGTGTTGCAAACCCCTAGTTTCCTGACTCCAAACCTCATATTCTTTCCTTTGCTTCTCCAGAGGATGGAAAAACAGCAAATAGGACTTTTCTCCTTTTGTCTTAAATCCCTCTACAGATCAGCTTCTCCAGACCACACCTGTATTAAGTCAAAGACAATGGACCCAATGGCCATCTTCTTCACCAGTGGAACCACAGGCTTCCCCAAGATGGCAAAACACAACCAGGGACTTGCCTTACGATCCTGCCTCCCTTCATGGTAGGAAAAAGGACACTAAGTTAGACAGTGGGTCACAGATCTGGAGTGGGGTATGTGTGTACGTGTGTGTGTGTAGGGTATAGGGTGTATGGGTCTGTGTGGAGAGGGTAGATATGTGTATGTGGAGGATGTACAGGTGCAGTGTGGAGAATGTGTATGAAGAATGTGTGTGTGTGGTGTGTGTGTGTGCACATGTGTGTAGAGTGTGTATGTAGGGTGTATACATCTGTGTGAAGAGGGCAGATATGTGTGTATGGAGGATGTGTAGGTGCAGTGTGTGGAGAACATGTGTGAAGAGTGCGTGTGTGCGTGTGTGTGTATGTGTGTTCTGTCTAGTTCTGACCTCTGAGGGTCTCAGGGGTGAAGGCTGGGGAATCGTAAGTGTTTGCTGACAGAGGTCTTGGAACAACACAGGAAACCCATTTGTGTAGTGCCTGAGCAATTCCATAGGAGGTGGGGAAGAAATGGTGTGGGTGGAGGCAATAGGAATTCTTCAAACCACACAAATAGAAAGTTATTGTTTCCTTATAAGTGCCTCCAGGGTTTGTTGGTGAAAGACAACATGGTTCTGGCAATGGGGCCTGGGGTGACAGGTCCCCTCCTGGCCTCCATTATGGGCAAGTTGAAGACGGGTTTCCAAATAATAAGCTGCTTGTGGAGACATACCTGGAACCAAGTCACACCCTCAGCCATGGCCGCTAAAGTAAACCAAGCAATACAGAGAGGCTGAAGCACTCACCTCAGGGTTAATCATTTAATCAACCCTCAATCAAATCTCTTCTCGACCCCCTCTTCTCCCAAACTAGTAATATTCAGACCAGACCTAATTCTATATATTTTCTGAATTATTAAACCAGAACTGGAGTTATAAAAGGCTTCTTGTGGGCAGTGGGTTTCGACTGCATGGGCATGGAATAGACTCCATGGCAACTAGTTTGGTTTTTTTTATTTAAGCAGCAAAAGCCTAGGAAGAATGGGAATAAGGGGAATGCAGGGCTTTCCATGCAGTGGGATTAATACATGTAAAAACCAAAAAACCAAACCTATTGCCATTGAGTCAATTCTGACTCATACCAACCCTATAGGACAGAGTAGAACTGCCCTATAGGGTTTCCAAGGAGTGGCTGGTGGACTCAAATTGCCGACCTTTTGGTTAGCAGCCATACCTCTTAACCACTGCACCACCAGGGCTCCAATACATGCAAAGGCACATAGGTATAAAAAGTAGTATTCTGAGAACTCCGAAGATTTAAGGATAGCTGGTGTTTATTGGCTGGTGAGGGACCCATAGGAAGAAGGGGAAAAGTACACAGGGGCCAGATCATGCAGGGACTTATGGGCTGTGGTGTGGAGTTTGGGCCTTATCAGGAAAATGATGGGGAGGCAGTGAGAGATTTTCAGCAATGGGGTGATCTCATCAGGTTTTGTATCCTGCAGCTGTGGCTGCAGGATGGAGAATGACTTGGAGAAAGTGGGACTGGAATCAGGAAGACCAGTTAGAGGCTCTTGGAATAATCTAAGTGCAAGATGATGGTGGCCTGGACTAGGTGGCAGAGAGATGAAAATAGTGAGTACATTTGAGATGTTAAGAGACAGAGTCTACAAGAGCTTCTGGCTAAATGTGGGAGGTGAGACAGAGAAGGGAGTCAAGGTAGACTCCCAAGTTGCTCGCTTGGACAGTTTCATGGCTGGTGATGACATTCACTGAAATACAGAGAACACTGGAGGAGAATCACCTCAAGGAAGGCAGGAGAGATTATGATCTGCTGGCTTTGAGGTGCCTGAGACACATCCCAGAAGACATATTCAGTCCAGTGGGTAGTTGGAGGAAGTGGTGAAGTTCAGAAGAAAGGTTCCCCCCACAACCCTGTAACTAGTAATTTCCTGTGGATGTGACACAATTCAAAGAGAGATAGGATGAAGGAGTGTGGGTGATTCATCAAAGCCCTCCCCACTAATAGAAAAGCTCCTCAAAGCCATAGCCGGCAAGTGGAAGAGTTGTGTTTCCTCAAGAAGCTATACACACACAACTCCCTCAGAGGCAGTAAGAGTAGGGTGGAGAAAAAAGAAACCTTCTCCATTCTACCCTCCAACAATAGATAAATTATTGTCTTAGAATAACTGCTTCCACTCCTTTGCCAAGATAATGTATTAATTAGGATTCTCTGTCCATTGCAAATGACAGAAAACCCAACATAAACGTCTTTAAGCCAAAGAAAAAATAACGGAATGTATTGGCTCATGAAATAGAGAAGTCCAGGTTTTGGCTTCAGACATGTCTGGATAGCGCTGGATTAGGTTTTCATCTCTCCATCTCTCAGCTCTGTTCCTGCTATGTTGACACTGTTCTCAGAAAGGTCCATCCCTATTGTACCCACATAGCTGGCAGCATCACCTGGGACTATGTCTGCAACAGATTCAAATCCAGCAAAGGACCACCAGACTGGGTCCCAGCTTTCCCAGCAAAAGCCTTGAGGATCATTATGACTGTACCAGTTTAGGCCGCTTGTAACTAGGGAATCATGACTGATCAATTAGCACACCTTTGGGAACTGGGGTGGATCAGCCCCATATAAACCACATGAACTGGAGTGAGAGGGGTGGGTTCCTACCCGAAAATCAGAGTCCGCTGTCCCCAATCACACAGCTGAGATGACTGTATTTTGGAGCTAGCAGGAAATTTCTACAGCTGAAGACGTCCGATATCCTCTGGTGCCTGTCGGACCCAGGCTGGATTATGGCTATCATGGGGGCCCTGCTTGAACCATGGACAGCAGGGGCTACTGTTTTCACCTATGATCTGCCCCAGTTCGACCCCAAGGTCATTGTACAGGTAAGCAGAATAACCTTTCAGTAGTAACAAACTCCTGGAAGAAATCAACATTTCAAGGCCAAAAGCTGGACTCTCCTTAGAAACATTTTACTTAGCCAAGAAGCCCATTAGCAATATATAATCTTGGTTCTGGGTTTCTCAAAGTGTGGAACATTGAATCACAGTCACCCATATCATAATCACATCAAGATGTAACCTTGATGAAAATGCATATTTCTGGGCCCTCTCCCAGACCTATGGGTTAGTCTTCGTGGACATGGGACCTGGAACATACATTCTGAGAAATTAAAACAATCAGAATAAGCCTGGGTCTCCTGCATTCTGGCCCCTGGCTCAATCAGATAGCTAGTGTGGTGTGTGTGTCTGTGTGTGGTGTGTGTGTGTGTTGTTACTCAGAAAGTGTTTAAAAGCAGAGCACTTGGAATGTAACAGATAGACCTTCTTATCCCAGTTTTGCCATTTATTAAGCTGACTGCTTAACCACTTTGAGTCAAAGTTTCCTTATCTGTAAAATTTTAATGATTACTAACTTATATAATTGTGAATATTAATGAGATGATGCAGGCAAAATGTGTAAAGTGTTCAGCCAAAGGCTGACACATAAGAAAAAAGCAGGTATCGAGTCGATTCCAACTCATAGCAACCCTGTGTGTGTCAGAGTAGAACTGTGCTCCATAGGGCTTTCACTGGCTGCTTTTTTGGAAGTAGATCACGAGGTCTTTCTTTCGAGGCACCTCTGGGTAGACTCCAACCTCCGACCTTTTGGTTAGCAGCCAAGTGCATTAACCATTTTCACCACCGAGGGACTCCAGCACGTAGAAAGGATTCAATAAATGCTACATCATGGTGACACTGAAGCCACCTGCATGAACTCTTTCAATGTATACCTCTTTACCTGAAAATTCCCTTATATCTCTACTTAGGTCCTTGCTTTCTATCCCAGAGGCAGACCCGTCCCTCCACCTGTCAAAGTTCAACCTCCCCCGACCACAACCACCCCAGATCATTTCTGTTCTCTCTGTCCCTCAAGGATTTCCTTTTATTAATCATCTACCTTTTCTCTTGTATTTTCAATCTCTCACTCTCCATTAACTCAACTTCCTCTGTCCATAAACATGTCCAAAATTCCCCATCCTAAAAAATGCCTTCCCTTAACCCTGCCACTTACTGGGCCAACCCTGTCTTTCCTGCCTTCATACCACACTTACCCATAGAACATTCTCTGCTTGTTGCAGCCACTTCTCCACCCAGCTTACTCGTGAACACCACAGTCCTCCAAGGGTCAGCCCTTACCTTTCCTCTCCCTCTGAGCCATCTCCTTCACTTCCACTTCTTCAATCACATCAGTGCAGGTGACTCAAACCTGCACCTCGGGTCTAGTCTTCTCTCTTCAGGCTAATCCCCCCATGTTTAGCTGCTAGTTGTTCAAGTCCATCTCATCATCCCTCCAGCACCTCACACTTCCCTTCCCATATCTCACCGCCCTCACATCAATATCTCCTCCTGCCTCTCATCATGATTTACTGCCCACCTCCTGCCAGTCTCTAAGGCTTGTTAAACAAAAAGTTCTGACGAAGTTAATTTTCCAGAGTTTATTTAGTTTCAGAAAAGGTTCATGAACCGACAGCACAGTTTCAGTGAGACATGCTCCACCAGACAGAGAAAGGCTGGGAGTTTTTCTGAGAGATAAACAGAGAGAGAGAAACAAAACAAAGCATCCTTTAAATATTTTTACATACCATCAGGTCATGTAAGAGCAGGACGTACAGAACTCCCAAACGTTTAAACCTATCTATTCAAAAACGGTTTAATGTCTGAACCCAAACTTCTGAGCCAGCAGGCAAAAATGTTTGTGCATACCAAATAAAGTCAAAGGATAGAGAAATTTCAAACAGGGGTGGGGGGCCTCCCCCAGGTGGAATCCTCTAAGTCCCTTTAATGCTTTAACTCTTTAAAGGGGCCTCTTTAATTCTTCAAGTCCAGCAAGTCTGGAGAACAAAATACAAACTCAGCAGGCTTAAAGCTGCACAAAAGACAATGACTCCACTCTTCTCCCCTCTCACCAGGTCTAATTCTCCCTCACACTATGTTCGTGTTGGGTGTCATCAAGTTGATTCCGACCCCAAGTGACAGAATAGAATCAGAACTGCTCTATAAGGTTCCCTAGGCTGGTGGTGCAGTGGTTAAGCGCTCGGCTGCTAACAGAAAGGTCAGTACTTCTAGCCCACCAACCGCTCAGTAGGAGAAAGATGTGGGATTCTGTGTCCTTAAAGATTACAGCCTTGGAAACCCTAAGGGGCAGTTCTACGCTGTCGTATAGGGTCACTGTGGGTCTGAATCAACTCGACAGCGAGGGGTTTGGTTTTTGTTTTTTTATTTTTTTTGGGGGGGTGGCGGGAATCTTTATGGAAGCAGACTGCCAGGTCTTTTGTCCCTCAGAGCCTCTGGGTGGGTTCAAACCACCTACCTTTCGGTTAGCAGCCGAGTGCTTAACCATTGTGCCACCAGGGCTGGTTCTCCACTATGTAGGGTGTCCCAAAAGTCTTGATGTAGTTTTAAGATTGGATAATTTCAAAAGTATTAATGCTACCAATTTACAAAAAAAAAAAAAAAGATTTGAAAGTTTAATTATTCAGATTTATTTTCCACTGATTACTTTTGGGAATTTTTAATATTAAATTTGTATTTTAATTTATTGTTTCAGTTCCTCTGATTAAAGATAGAAAATGTTGACTAAAATGAAAAACAAAATTAATTAAAAATTTACTATTCAAAATTCACAAAACAAAATATTCCCTCCATGTTCTCTCTGCCCTCCCCTCCTCAAATTAGGCCTTCCTGCCAGATCTGCTACAAGAGCTTCCTGCTCCCTGTCTCCCCACCGCCGGAAGCTGCAAAGCACCTAGATGCGTTAGAAATTACAACTTAAAACCTGTTGCCGTTGAGTCAATTCTGACTCATAGCGACCCTATGAGACAGAGTAGAACTGCCCCCTAGGGTTTCCAAGGCTGGAAACCTTTACGGAAACAGACTGCCGTAGCTTTCTCCCAAGGAGTGGCTGGTAAGTTCGAACCACCGACCTTCTGGTTAACAGCCGAGTGTTTAACCACTTCACCACTAGGGCTCAAAATGACAACTTAGAACTTTGGGGAGTAGCGTCTGGGGTCTTAAAAGCCTGTGAGTGGCCATCGAAGATACTCCACTGGTCTCATCCCATCTGGGGCAAGAGAGAATGAAGAAAAGCAAACACACAAAGGAAAGCTAAGTCCAAAGGACTAATGGACCACAACTACCACAACCTCCACCAGACTGAGTCCAGCACAACTAGATGGTGTCCAGCTACCATCACCAATTGCTCTGACAGGGATCACAACAGAAGGTCCTGGACAGAGCTGGAAAAAAATATAGAACAAAATTCTAACTCACAAAAAAAGACCAGACTCACTGGTCTGACAGAGACTGGAGAAACCCCGAGAGTATGGCCCCTGGACACCCTTTTAACTCAGTAATGAAGTCACTCCTGAGGTTCACCCTTTAGCCAAAGGTTAGATAGGACCATAAAACAAAACGAGGCTAAATGGGCACACCATCTCAGGGGCAGGGACGAGAAGGTAGAAGGGAACAGGAAAGCTGGTAATGGGGAACCCAAGGTCAAGAGGGGGAAAGTGTTGACATGCCGTGGGGTTGGCAACTAATGTGACAAAACAGTATGTGTATTAACATATTTGTATTAATTGTTTAATGAGAAACTAATTTGCTCTGTACACTTTCAACTAAAGTACAATGAAAACAGAAAAAAATACTAACTGTTAAAAAAAAAAAAGATTACACCTTAGACTATAATTATCATAGACAATACCTGGTAAGCACCTATTAAGCATCAGCCTCTGGAAAAGACCCTTGACATGTATCATCTTCAATCTTTACACACTGAGCATTGCTCCTTCGGGTGCATGTAACAGAAACCCACTTCAAAGTAGCTTAATGGAAAAAAGGGGTCATGTGGGCATTTCAAGACACTGGAGGGAAAGAAAGGAGCCCTGGTAGTGCAGTGGCTAAAGCGCTCAAAATGACTGCAGTTGGAACCCACCAGCTGCTCCTCGGAAGAAAGATGCTTCCTTACAGATTACAACCTTGGAAACCCTATGAGGCTGTTCTACTCTGTCCTATAAGGTTGTTATGAGTTTGAATTGACTCCACACAATGCAATTGATTTTTTTATTTTTTTGGCGGGGAAGACGAGCAGCTGAGCCTGCAAGGATCTCTGGAAGAGGAACCAGATTGATAAAAGGAATCAAGGCAGCCTTTGGGTCTCCTCTCTGCTTTTCTCTGTACATCTGCTCCAGTCTATTTGCAAACCTGCTTTTGCCTCTTCACATGCGCAGGGCCAAACATGGCGACCGCAACAACCACAGGTGTACGTTTCTCCTTTCCAAAGAACCAATCCAGACCAACTAGAACATGAGCAGTCCAGCCCGAGTCAGCTGTCCATCACCAGTCCAACTCTCTGTGCCCAGGGCAAGAGCCAAACATGGCTGGCATGGGGGTGGGACCCTTTGGGGCGGCAGCAGTGGACCTGGGGGTGAGGGTAGAAGAAGAAAATAACAAAGACATGGAAGCCAGAGACTAAAAACTGATTGGATCCAGGGAGAGAGGGACCCAGGATGGCGGCAGATTTCCCCAAAGTGTCCTTTATGTCGCACCATGGTCCTGCAAGCAGTGGACGGTCCCATTTGACAGATGAAGAAGCAGCACCGCAGAGAAATTAAGTAACAGAGTCAGGATTTAAATTCCAACCAGGAAGACCCCAAAACTCACATTCTCATCTTTACTCTTTCTCACTCTCCATATTTCCACCCTGACCTGAAACCCTGAAAGCATCCCACTTCTAGCCAAATAAAAGTGAAGACCAGACATTTTAAACCCTATGTAATCAGGCTCCAACTAACCCCATCCTTCTTAAACGTATTTCTTGTTCCTTTCCTATATATCTAAATAAACCACGTTACTCAGCTACACTTAAATGTTTCTTCTGCTCCTAGGACTTTGCTCCTGCTCTTCCATCTATCTTCAATGGCCTCCCCTACTTCTCTGCCTGTAGACAACTTCTCCTTTTGTTAATGCCCCAACTAAATGCCCCCTCTTCCACTGACAGCCCCCCTCCAACAACCCAACCAGAAGGAATATAATCTTCTGCTATATCTTTATAAAGTCTCTGGGTGGTGAAAACAGGTAATGTACTCAGCCACTAACTGAAAAGTTGAGTCCACCCAGAGGTGCCTCAGAAGACAGGCCTGGCAATCAACTTCCAAAAAATCATTAATTAAAACCCCACAGATATTGGTGATGGTTGCACAACATAATTGATGTAATTGGTGTCACTGAATAGTACATGTGAACAATGTTCAACTGGCAAATGTGTTATCTATATTTTTACAAAAACAAACAAACAAAAAACGTTATGGAACACAGTTCTACTCTGACACATGTGGCATCACCATGAGTCAGAGGTGATTCAAAATCAATTGCATTTTTATGTCCTTACAGAACAGTCTTCGAATCACTCTCATGATACCTACCAAATTCTGCCTTATCATTTGAGTCCTGTCTTATCCCTTCTATTAGTACCTACTCTCCATAAGAGTTGGGAACTTATCTTATTCTTCTTACTTTCCCCAGCAATACCTGACCCAATGCCATGTACAAAACTCATGCTCAATCTATGGATATTGAATACATTAACAAACAAATAAATGAGCTTTCCTCGAGGCGAGGTCAGAACTATAATGCTAATAATTGGCTGAGAGTTTTTATCTTAATTGTAAAAATATAATCCCTTCTCTTCTCACTTTTCAGACGTTCCTCAAATACCCCATCACCCAATGCCTTGGTGCACCAACAATTTATCGAAAGATTTTGCAGCAGAATTTCACCAGGTATGGTAGAAGTGGCTGGTAACAGCAATCTCTGGGTAGGATTTTAAGTAATCATGGTTGTTTTCTCCTTTGGTTCTTTGAGGGTGATCGGTGCATATGTGCCTCCGTGTGTGTGTGTGTGTGTGTGTGTGTGTGTGTGTGTGTGTGTTTTAACTGTCAATAGTGACAATTATCAGCCAGTCTAATTAGTTCATTAAAGCAGGACCCAGAGAACCTAGAGAAACACTTCAGTGAGCCTTGCATCATTGTGGGTTTATTCTTTTTAAAATATTTTTACTGTGAAATAACAGACATACAGAAAATGCATAGAACATGAATGTGCAGGTTGATGAATTGTTTGAAAGAAAACACCTGCGTAACCATCCAACAAAGTCACAAAAATAGAATACTGCTAGCACCCCAGAGACCTCCATATGTCTCTCCCCTAAAGGAAACCACTATACTGACTTTTATGGTGGTCACCTCCTTGTTTTCTGTTATAGTTTACCTCCTAATGAAACATTCCTAAACAAATAATTCAGATGTATCTGCTTTTGAACCTTTTGCATGTATCATAAATTATTCCATTATATATAGCTTCTTTTGTTCAACATTATGTTTCTAACATGTATCCATGCTGTTGAATCTGGCTGTAGCTAGTTTATTTTCATCCCTGCATAATATTCCACTGTATAAAAATAGCACAATTTTTAAAATCAATTCTACCATTAACTGACATTTGGGTAGTTTCCAATTTGGGGCTATTAATGAATAATGCTGAATTGAACTCTTGTACATGTACCCTGGTGCAAACAAGCAGGCATTTCTGTGGAGTTTTTTCTAGGAGAGGAATTGCAAGGTCACGTTAACACTACACACTACCACTTCCTTTCCAAAGTATTGAACCAATTTATGCTTTCACGAGCAGGTTAGGAGAATTCCTGTTGTTCTACATCCTTGTCAACTCTTGCTATTGTCAGTTTTTAATTTTTAATAACTCATAATCTGGTGAGTATGCATTGTGATCTTATTGTAGTTTGAGTTTTGGATTTCCCTGTGTCCGAGTGTTAATTTTTAGCCAAACTGAAATCTGCTCTTTGAACCTCATGGGCATTTATGTATCTTTTAAAGACTCTGAAATTGAAATGTTCCCTTCTGCTCCACTTCTGCTCTGACACCAGCTGCACAGGCAGCACCTCCTCCTCTGACCCTAACCACCTGGAGTGAGGTCACAGCTCATAAGTTAAAGGACACAGTCCTCCAGACGGCCAAGTCTGCCCAAGACCTCAGAGGCAAGCCATAAGCTTGGAGTCCCCACAACATCATCACTTCTGACCTGCTGGCTATAAATTCAGCGGTTCCCTCTGCCTCCTCAAGATATCAGTCACAGTTTCAGGGGTCCCCAAGCCCCCCTTACTTCTGACTTGTTGGTTTCCACTACTCCCTTGGGCTTGATAATGCACAAGAACAACTCACAGAACTCAAGGAAAGTGCTATACTTAAACGATTACATCTTTATCATAGCAAAAAGGATACAAAGAGACGTATAGGACACACAGGGCGAGGGTTCCCAACACAGAGCTGCTGTGTTCTCCAAATAGGGATGCACTATCTTCCCATGCACATCGATGTCTATCACCAACCAGGAAGCCTGTGGAACTTCAGTGTCCAGAGCTTTTATTGGCGGTCTCATTATGTAATTCAAACTCAAGCTTCTCTCTTCTGAGGTTGGTCGATATCTTGAGGTTGATATCTGGCATAGTCAGCCCCAATCCAACATGAGCCATTAACCCTCAGGTGAGGTCATCAAAGACACTTCAATCATCAATGACTCTGCAATCATTGGGGAAAGTCCAAGGTTTTGGAGGTTATCTCTCAGGAACTAAGGACAAAGACCAAATTCTTTGGATAAAGTTAACTTCTTTATCCCACATACCCTAAATGAAGCTAGCCCTCTGTTCCTCACTCTTGACTCTGTATGTACCACAAGGGAGTCACAAAGATGAAAAGGTGATCCAGATGCCTGCTATCTCCCTTATCCCCAAGATCTGGCCTGCCTCAGCCCCATACCAACTGGTTCTCACACCTCAATCACTTTGTCATTTTCTTCAGAGAATCCAATCATTATTTTGTGACTGTTTTTGTGTTCTTTATGGAAGATTCTTGGGGGGAAAATGAGGAAAGGGTTTACATCACACAATGTATCTAGCAAACTACTGCAAATGCTCATTTCAGACTTTTCTGTTCTTTCCAAAATCCTTTTTCTCAGTGCTGCCACCTGTTATCCTTCTCCACTCTCCCCCACTCAGTTCAGTCCTCCCTTACATCTTCAGCAATTCATTTCCAAGCCCTAAGTTTCATATCCCACTCAGGAGTACAAAAGTCTCTTCAGTTAACATACCACTGTATCAGTCAGGGTTCTCCAGAGAAACAGAACCAGTAACAACCAACATATATAAAGAGATTTATTTAAGGAATTGGCTCATGCTATCGTGGGGGCTGACAAGTCTGCTATCTATAGGGTAGACCAGCAAGCTGGAAACTCTGCAGTAGTCAATGTTGATACTGTGTTCTTGAATCCAAAATCTGTAGGGCAGGCTAGCAGACTGGGCAAGAGTTTGCTTTGCAGTCTTGAGGCAGAATTCCCTCCTCTCTGAGAAACCTCAGTTTTTGCTCTTAAGGCCTTCAAATGACTGGATGTGGCCCATCCATGTTATCAAAGTCAGACTCCTTTACTTAAAGTGATGGTTGATGTTAACCACATCTACAAAATACCTTCATAGCAACACCTAGATTAGTGTTTGATAAAATAACTGGGTACTAGAGCCTAGCCTCAAGTACTAACCTAAAGATTGGCAGCTCGAACCCACCCAGCGGCACCACAGAAGAAAGGCCCGGTGATCTGCTTCTGTAAAGATTACAGCCAAGAAAACGCTATGGAGTAATTCTACCCTGTAACATATGGTGTCACCATGAGGCAGAATTGACTCGATGGTAATGGATCATGGGTTATAGACTAGCCAAGTTCACATGTACCACTAACCATCACACCTACCCTCCGCAGAAGGCAGTATAGTTCTACTGTCATTCTAGCATGTCCTTGAGGTCTTATCCTTCACCCACTTGACACTGACCATGGGTAAAATGCTCAGAAGGTAAGAAAGTGAGGAAGAAGAGTATGAATAATCCAGATAACAAAGCTGTGTTTGCTCTAAATGCAGTTGAGCCTGGGGTAGAACCTCCAAGGCCCTACCTGAAATCCCTGACTCCTTGCATTCCCATAAGTCTCAGGTTCCCAGCCCTGGAGCACTGCTCTACTGGTGGAGAGGCTCTGCTGCCGGAGGAGCTGGAGAAGTGGAAACAACTGACAGGCATTCTGCTCCACGAGGCCTACGGACAGTCAGAAACGGTAGGTGGACAGGGCCCTCCTGGGCCAGTCTGGATATGCTCAGCCATCAAGCCCAGCAGATGAGCTCAGTCAGGCCACAAGTGTGTTCAGACGCACAACACTGCTAGAAGAATATGGAAGGCTCACGAGCTCTAGGCTCATTTGCCCGAAATTAGTTTGCAGAAAGGCAATTCACAACCCATCAACTTATCAAGGAACCAATGTGTTGAAAACGATTGGACAAGAACTTTAAAAGGGGTCTAAGGACATTTTGCCATTGTTCCTGTCATTGTTAGCTCAGGGGAACCCAAGAAATGGTGGTGGGATAGGAGCCACCAACATGTTCTGCCCACTCCACCATCCCTTCCCAGGGCAGCAACCACAGAGGAAGTGTGGGAAAGGACTCTAGAAGTTCACTTCTAGGTGTTTCTGATGAGAGCACATAGGTCTGATTGTGGGACACCAGTGGGTGGAGGGGCAGAGACTTTCTGTATACACCAAACACACACGCACACACATGCACATGCGCACACACACACACACACACACACACACACACACACACACAGAGTAATACCAAAGAGGGCCACTGGTCACTGAGCCCCCAAGTGCACAGGGTATTTGGAATATCATGTAGGTCTCGAACCTCAAGAATTTACCAGTGATAAGGTTGGTGGGTAGCTCTCTTTCAACACATTCTCAATCCATTTTCGATACTGGATGGAGGCTCCTCCCCCCATCTTCCTACTCCCATCTCAGACCCTATAGCAAAATGGCTGCTTTTGTCCCAGTTCACATATGTGTCTGATAGATTTTTGCAAAAAAAAATAAATCAGTTAACTGGTCTGCTTCCAGGCCAGATGCAGGTCCTGACCTTGAGTGGCTCACAGTTTATATTTGGGCAAGGTGGGAGTTGGGGGTGAAGAACTGCATGCTACACTCATGACCTCAGTCCGTTTGCATCCATCAACATTTGCAACAGCAGATTACTCCCTTATACCTGGATGGTGCTTCATTTCTCAAAGCACTTCCACACCTATTCACTCATCCATGCAACATTTTTCATGTACCTACAGTGTGAGCATTCTTGCCTTCCATGCAGGAGACCCAGGTTCCATTCCCGACCAATGCACCTCATACGTAGCCACCACCCATCTGTCAGTGGAGGCTTGTGTGCTGCTATGATGCTGAACAAGTTTCAGGAAAGCTTTCAGACTAAGACAGACGAGGAAGAAAGGCATGGCAATCTACTTGCAAAAATCACCAATGAAAACCCTATGGATCATAACGGTCCAACCCACAACCTATCGTGGCGATGGCATAGGACTGGGCCCAGACAGTGTTTTGTTCCATTGTTCATGGGGTAGCCATGAGTCAGGGGCTGACTCAATGGCAGATAATAACAATAATAGTATGGACAGTGACACGGCAGAGGAGAAAGAGCTTCATTTCCCAGGAGCTCAGAATGGGTACAAGTCCAAGCCCTGCTAATTTTAGGCTCCAATACCTTAGACATATCATCCAATCTTCCTGAGTCTCAGCTTCCTCACCTCTGAAATGGGAATGATAATGCTGATCTTGCAGGGTTGTGTTAAGGTAAATGGAAGGAAGTATATAAAGTTCTGGCCACAGTTCCCAGACCACAGTATGTGCTCACATTGTAGCTACTGTTGTTGTAAGTAGGTGGGTAATGTGCTAGATGCTGGGAATGCAGAGATGAATGGGAAATCTCTATTCTCAGGGTGCTCATGACCTACCAACGGAAACAGACAGAAATAATTATAATGCCCTGTGGGCTACAGCAGAAGCATGGGGGAAAGTACCGTGGAAGGAGAATCTTCCAACTGACTTTTCTTAGAGGCTGAGTAATACCTCGAAGTGGTCATGGCGCAATGGCTAAGTGCTCCACTGCTAACCGAAAGGTCCATGGTTCGAACCTACCCAGCAGCTCTGTGACAGAAAAGAACTGACAAGCTGCTCCATAAAGATTACAGCCTAGGAAACCCTCTGCAGCAGTTCTACTCTGTCACATGGGATTGCTGTGAGTTGGAATGGACTCGACGACACCTAACAACAACAACATTTATTGAATACTTAGTGTGTGCCAGGTACTTATTAAGAGTTTTCCATATATTCACAGGCACGCTGAGAGGTAAGTATTGTAATTATTCCCCTTTTAGAGAGGAAGAGATTAAGGGAGATAAATGGCACAGCTCGTGAGTAGTAGAGTCAAGACTCACACCCTGGTGGGTTTGACTGTGATGCTCTTAGCCACAGAAAGATTGACAATCGAAAGAACTGTAAGGAAGGAATAAAGTTAATCAGGAAGACAAAGGTGGGTGGGACATAGCTGTTGTTGTGTACTCTTGAGTCAATTCTGCCCCTATAGGACAGAGCAGAACTGACCCATAGGGTTTCCTAGGCTGTAATCTTCATAGGAGCAAATCACCAGATCTTTTCTCCCACGGAGCAGCTGGTAGGTTTGAACTGCCAACCTTTCAGTTAGCGGATGAAGGCTTAACCATTGTGCTGCCAAACCAAACCCATTGCCGTCGGGTTGATTCCAACTCTTTGCCACCATACAGGACAGAGTAGAACTGTCCCATAAGGTTTTCTTGGCTGTAATCTTTACAGGAGCAGATCGCCAGGTTTTTATATTCATGGAGCCACTGGTGGGTTCAAACTGCCGACCTTTCGGTTAACAGCCAAGCACTTAACCATTGCGCCACCAGGGCTCCTTGGGGCATTGCTAGCAGAGGGAATAGCAAAAGCCCTGAGAAGCTTGAACCCACCCAGCAGCACCACAGAAGAAAGGCCTAGTGATCTGCTTCTGTAAAGCTTCTGTTACACAGCCCTGAGAAGTGGTTGAGGCAGGATTCCTGTCACCATTCAACAGCACCTGGTAAATGTTGATTGAATGGACTCATGGCTTCACTCTGGCAAACTGGCACATTCCTGGCATATGGTGGGCACCCCACATCCCACATTACATGCCCACAGCCCCCAGCCTTGCTCCTCTGGTTCTTTCTTTGCCTCCACACTAGGCTACCAGCTCCTGAGGACTCTGTAGCCAGTACCTAGCACAGGGCCAGCCCATGTCAGGTACAGCAAATGTCAGCTGAGTAGAGTTGAGTCAAAGCACAGAGACCAGAACCCAAACCTTCTCACTTCCCCACACGGACTCTTTGTGCAGCATCAAATCACATCTGAGAGCCAAGGGATTCTGTGTGTGATTCTTGCTGCATGGTGACCAGCCTGGACTCTTTTGCCAATCCTAGTCCTCTTCTTTTTTAACAGGGAATACTATGCGCTATTTCCAGGGGAATGAAGATCAAGCCGGGTTCCTTCGGGAAGGCTATCTTACCCTATGACGTCCAGGTCTGGCCCAAGAGCATTCATTGTCAGAGAGTAGATAGGACTTGGCTGGGGTTGTACCACATGCGGCACCTCGTGTCATAACCAGTCATGCTTCCCTGCACTACTTGTCCTTCCTCCTCTCCCTATGTTTCGTCCAATTTCCTATGGAGGTTTCCACTGAGAACTGCAGTGTCGTGGGCACTAATGCAGCTTGCCCTGACAGCTAGAGGCATTACACACAGTGAATAAGAACAGAGTACCTGGAGGTAGTACTGGCAATTCTTTCCACCAGCTGGTGCCTTCAGTTTTCCTTGAACAATGTTTTCTAGCAGGAAGAAACATTTACAATGCCTGTATGTTCGCGTTTGATGGCAAGGACCAGGCAATGTTTCCTTCTGTTATACGTAAGGTAGCTAAGAGTCGGAGCCGACTAGACAGCAGCAACAACAACATTTGTCTGTCAACCAAACAGATTCATGACTTGGGTTTCACCATTTGCTGGTTTCAAAGACTTTTGACCATTTCATTACATTTTCAACGGGGCTCCTCCACCACTACCCCCTCTCACTATCCCCACTGATGCCACATGAATGAGCCAGGTACTACTTGGGTGGGACAGGGGGGCTTGGGGCAGAGTGGGATTCACAGGCCTCTTGCTCCAGATCATTGACGACAAGGGCAACATCCTGCCTCCCAACACCGAAGGAAACATTGGCATCAGGATCAAGCCCATCAGACCCATGGGCCTCTTCATGTGCTATGAGGTAAGGATGTGCCATCTGCTCCCACTCTGGCCCCCAGAATCCCTGCAGAGAGCCATCTAGATGGTAACAGGTGGACGCAACTCTGCATCCTGCAACTTCTTCAGATCCTCTTCCATTGCTCCTATACAGCGACGCCTCTCTGATTGACACCTCCCCCGAGACCAAAGCTCAGAGTGCACTCCCACATCTCTGCCTGTCCTGACCCATCTGTCACTAAGGGTCGACTGATGGGGTAGAAAGAAGACTGGCTTCAGGACTGCCAGACTTGGGTTTCAATGATCTCCTGTGGTTAAGAACGTAGGCTTTGACGTCAAACACAAAGGGTTCAAATACTGACCACCCAACTTACTGGCAATAGGGTGTGAACAAATCACTTAACCTCAGTGAGCCTCCAGGGGGCGATATTATCCCAATTTTACAGACTGTCTTAGTTTCTTAGTGCTGCTGTAACAGAAATGGCGCAAGGTGTGACTTAAAAGAACAGAATTTTATTTCCTTGCAGTTTAGGAGGCTAGAAGTCTGAATTCAGGGTACCGGGGCTCTAGGGAAAGACTCTCTCGCTATCCGATCTGGGGGAAAATCTGTCGTTCCTCAGTTCCTTGGCGATCTCCATGTGGCATCTATCTTTTCCTATTTGTGCTTCCTTGTCTCTGTGCCTAATCTGCTCTTTTTATATCTCACAAGTGATTAGCTCTAAGACATACCCTACACTGAAATGTCCTCATTAACAAAACAAAGAAAACCCTGTTTCCAAATAAGATCATATCCATAGGTATAGGGGTTAGGATTACAACACATACTTTGAGACACAATTCAACCCAAAACACAGAGGAAGAAACTGCAGCTTGGAGGTGTTATGTGACTCTCCCATATCAAATAAATGGCTGATCCAGATGCAAAACTATGTCTTTTGGGCCCAAAGCCCTTACTCTTTAATTTGGGGAAGGAGTCCTAAATGAGAAACCCTAGAGTTACAGAAAGCAGAGAAAAGCTATAAGGAAACCTGCTGAAACTCTTCATCAAAACAAACCTCAGCCCTCCCAGGTTAGTAGGGGTCATGAGTGGGAAGTTCTCAGCTTCCACGACGGGCCATGTAAAGGTGACCACAGCTCAGAATCTGATCTCAGGTTCCATCTCTTTTCTCCAAAGTCACAGTCACTGGAAGCTCTCCTGGTGTCACGGTTGTCCTCACATTATGGCCTCAAGGGGGCGCCACTGCTCTTGTGATACTACTGCCCAAAACACAAATGTGCAGCCCTTAGCCTTAATTCCCAGAAGCTCAACTTTAAGGTTGGCTAAATGAGAAAATAACCACAGAGTAACTCGTATAGAGATCAGTGGTTCTCAATCATGACTGTACATTATATAACGTTTTTGAAATGACAAAATTATAGAAATGGAGAACAGATTAGTCATTGCCAGGGGTTAGGAAGAAGCACAGCGGGTAGGAGGAGGGGGGAGGGAAAGCAGGGAAGAGGTGGGTGTGGTTATAAAATAGCAACACAAGAGGTCCTTGTCATGATGGAACTGCTCTATATATGGACTGTAGTGGTGGATACACAAACCTACATATGTGATAAAACTACAAAGCACTAAACACACTCACACAAATGAGTATAAATAAACCTGCGGAAATGTGAGTAAGATTGGTGGATTTTATCAGTGTCAGTATTCTGGTGGTAATATTGAACTATAGCTTTGCAAGATATTACCACTGGAGGAAACTGAATAAAGGGTATACAGGATCTTTCTAGTTTTTTTATTTTTTTAATAATATTTTATGATGTTTTCAGTGAAAGTTTACACAGCAAGTCAGGTTCCCATTTAATAATTTATACACAATTTGTTCAGTGACACTGGTCACATTTTACAAAGTACATCAACTTTTTCATTATTTCCATTCTGATTGTTCTGTTTCCAGTAATCTAGTTTCCCCTGCCTCTATTATTTCTTACAACTGCATGTACATCTACAATTATCTTAATTACAATAAAAAGCTTAATTTAAAAACACCAGTCACACACACAAAAATACCAGGATCAAATGAGATTGTATTTTGGGAAGAAAATTCATTCCGTATATGTTTGTTAAGGCCACCCATACACCAGGAGCTACGGGAGCACTGAGCTTACAACAATGAATAAAAGAAACAGGTTTCCTGTTTTAATGGAAATTTTATTTTAGAGGAGTGCCAGAGAAAAGTAAGTTGTTTTTAAAATTGTCATTAAAATCGGTTTAATAATGTCCAGTGATTGGACAGTAACATGCACCGAGTGCTCATGTGTAAAGAAAATAGACTCAGAAAGATTACAAAACCTGCCCAACCGCCAGTTACAGTTGGACAGGACCTGAACCCAGATCTGAGCTCCAGGTCGGTGCTCACCAGCTCTGCACTCGCTTCCTTCAACAGAGGGGTGCTCTTCTCTTTGCAGAATGACCCAGAAAAGACAGCCCAAGTGGAGTGTGGGGACTTTTACAACACTGGGGACAGAGCAACTGTTGATGAAGAGGGCTACTTCTGGTTCCTGGGGAGAAATGATGATATCATCAATGCTTCTGGGTAGGTGTGGTTGACTCAGGGCCAGCAGGTGTCATCCTCACATGCCTAATGGGATCTGGCTTGCCAGGTCATTCTTCCGTGCACTGGTGAGGGAATCCTCAGCCTAATTCCAAATAGAACCAGGTTTATAGGCCTTCGCCCAGGGCATATCTGTTTGTGCACCTCCCCCAAACCGTGTGTCCAGAAGAATCAATCAAATGAAGTTCAAGTGGGTCTGGAAGACGGAACAAACTCATAATAAGACATCATGCAATGTAAGGGGGCGATGGCATTGGGAAGGGGTCATTTGCTTTGGTCCCCATTTGTTGGGGGAGCTTATTTTATGCTTGTGCTCCTCATGTGGGGCCCAAGATGTTACAGGAGAAACATAATAATAGTTGTTGTTGTTGTTGTTAGGTGCCATTGAGTCGGTTCTAACTCATAGTGACCCCATGTACAACAGAACGAAACACTGCCCAGTCCTGCGACATCCTCACAATTGTTGCTATGCTTGAACCCATTGTTGCAGCCACTGTGTCAATCCATCTCATTGAGGGTCTTCCTCTTTTTCGCTGACCCTCTACTTTACCAAGCCTAATGTCCTTTTCCAGGGACTGAACCCTCCTGATAACATGTCCAAAGTATGTGAGACATAGTCTTGCCATCTTTGCTTCTAAGGAGCATTCTGGTTGTACTTCTTCCAAGACAGATTTGTTCCTTCTTTTGGCAGTCCATGGTATATTCAATATTCTTCGCCAACACCATAATTCAAAGGCATCAATTCTTCTTTGGTCTTCATTATAACCTTTATACAGTACTTGGAGCCCTTGTGGTGCAGTGGTTAAGAGCCTGGCTATTAACCAAAAGTTTGGCAGTCCAAATCCACCAGCCACTCCTTGGAAACCCTATAGGGCAGTTCTACTCTGTCCTATAGGGTCGCTATGAGTCAGAATCGACTCGACGGCCATGGGCTTGGTTTTTTTGGTTTTATAGAGTACTCAGGCTATGAAAGGACTCTCCTAAGAGCTGTTTAACTCATTTAACCCAGTCCTCAACACTATGTTGTTGTTGTTAGCTGTCATCGAGTGGGCCCCAGAATCATGGAGACCCCATGTGTTATAGAGCACAACTGTTCCATAAGGTTTTCCTGGCAGATCGCCAGGCCTTTCTTCCATGGAGTCACTGGGTAGGTTCGATTCACCAACCTTTGGGTTAGCAGCTGATTACAAACTTCTTGCACCACCCAGGTTCCTTCAATGGTATAAGGCAGATGCTAATGTTATCCCATTTTAGGATGAGGAAACTGACTCACAGAGCAGTGAAGAAGGTTGCCTTAAATCCCAGAGGTATCACATGGTGGGGTCCAGATTTTAACCCAGGTCGTCTTGTTCTGAACCCATGTCCCTACCCCCACACACAAAAAAAAAAAAAAAAAAAGAGAGAGAGAGAGACATTACCCTACAGCAACAATTCTTGGATATTACAGGAAATTGAGTATTCTTTTTTAATTTCTAAAGCAAACATTTATATATTGGGGAATAAGATGCCAAATTCACATAAACGACAAAGACAAAATTTGAAGCTTCTAAGAAATTTCACACTGATGGAAGCTGCTTAAGCCAAGGACCCAGAGCTCTGGAAGACAAACCATCGCGCCCTTTGTCAGCTGAGGCAGTGAGAACCCTGGGGTGCACCTGAGCATTGGTGTTTCCCAGCACAGAGTATCAAGGCCTTCACTTTTCAGTTCCAAGACACAGGCAGGTCTTGAGTCTTGGGCTCCCTATGCCAGTTACTCTCTGTGCCAAGGGCCCTCCAAAGCTGATATTTAAGCAATGGGTCACCCTAATCTGGCATCTGCCTCCAAAGTCATGAAAGAAGAAACAGCTGATCTTGCAGGTACCGAATCGGTCCAGCTGAGGTGGAGAATGCCCTGGCGGAGCACCCAGCGGTGACTGAGTCAGCCGTGGTGAGCAGTCCCGATCCCATTCGAGGGGAGGTGAGTAGAGGACACAGATGTGATCATGTCTGTGTGTGGGCACTAGGAAGCCAGAAGCAGAAGCAACGTCAAAGCATTATCTAGCCAGCCTTGGTCCTATGGCACAGAGGGCGTAACTGATGTGTGTGTGGACTTATACTGTGTGTGAGCAGGTGGCACTGGGCCTCATCTGTGGCACTGTAAACAATGATTATGAATGATCATGATGGTGATGATAATGACAGCTCGTGTTTAATGAGTACTTACTACGTGCCCACTCATTTAACCCTCACAACAACTCAGTGGGTTAAAAACCCATTGCCATCAAGTCGATTCCAACTAATAGTAACTCTATAGGACAGACTAGAACTGCCCCATAGGGTTTCCAAGGAGTAGCGAGTGGATTCGAACTGCTAACCTTTTAGTTAGCAGCCAAGCTCTTTAACCACTGTGCCACCAGGGCTCCAATGAGTTAAGGACTCTTATTATATCCATTTGATAGATAAGGAGGAGTCCCTGGGTGGGCAAGCAGTCGGCTATTAACCTAAAGGTTGGCAGTTCAAGCCCACCCAGCTGCAATGCAGAAGAAAGGCCTGGCCATAAAGATTACAGCCAAGAAGACCCTATGGCACAGTTCTATTCTGTAACACGTGGGGTAGCCATGAGTTGGAATCGACTGAAAGGCTATGGGATTGGTTTGGTTTTTATAGTCGAGGAAACAGGTATAAAGAGGTTAAGTAAGTTGCCTGGATCACACAGCTAATAAGTGATGGAGCCAGAATGGGAATCTAAGCAACCTGGCTCCACAGCATGTATTCCTTGATTCAACAAGTATTTATTGAAAACGTAAAAGTTCTGTGCAATTAAATTGGGAATATCATTAATCATCATCATCATCATCAATTGCTAATGCTTATCACTCACTAGGTTCCATGCAGCGAACTAAACATACAATAGCAGTAAAAAATTATAATGATGCTACTACTAATAATAGTAACAATAAATTTAAACTAGCCAGATGGTTCACACGTATCATCACTTAGAATATTTACAGATACCCAGTAAGAGATGATCTTTTTTTACTGTTGTAGTTTAAATGAAGTTTACATTTCAAGTTAGTCTCCCATACAAAAATTTATAGATACATTGTTATGTGACTCTAATTGCTCACCCCATACTGTGACAGCACACTCCGCCTTTCCACCCCCGATTCCCCATGTCCATTCAACCAGCTTCTAACCCTCTCTGCCTTCCCATCTCACCTCTGGACAGAAGCTGCCCGTTTAGTCTCTTGTATCCACTTGAGCTAAGAGGCACACTCCTCACAAGTATCACTTTATGTCCCATAGTCCAGTCCAATCCCTGTCTGAAGAGTTGGCCTCGGAAATTGTTTTAGTTCTGGGCTGATAGAGAATCCAGGGGCCATGCTTCCCAGGGTTCCTCCAGTCTCAGTCAGACCATTAAGTCTGGTCTGCTTACTAGAATTTGAGTTCTGCACCCCACCTTTCTCCTGCTCCATCAGGGACTCTCTCTTGTGTTCCCTGTCAGGGCAGTCATTGGTGGTAGCTAGGCACCATCTAGTTCTTCTGGTCTCAGGCTGATGAAGTCTCTGGTTTATGCGGCCCGTTCTGTCTCTCGGGCTAATACTTTCCTTGTGACTTTGGTGTTCTTCATTCTCCTTTACTCCGGATGGTTGGGACCAACTGATGCATCTTAGATGGCCACTTGCAAGCTTTTAAGATGCAGAACATTTTCTTAATAAGCTTTTGTTATGTGAATTGACCTAGATGTCCCCTGAAAGCATGGTCTCCAGACCCCTACCCCTGCTACTCTGTCCCTCAAAGTGTTTGACTGTATTCAGGAAACTTCTTAGCTTTGGTTTAATCCAGTTGTACTGACTTCCCCTGTAGAGTGTGCTGTCCTTCTCTTCACCTAAGATAATTCTTGTCTACAATCTAGTTAGTAAATAACCCTCACCCTCCCTCCCCACCCTAGTAACCATCAAAGAATGTTTTCTTCTGTGTTTAAACCTTTTCTTGAGTTGCTATAATAGTGGTCTTCTACAATATTTGTTTTTGTGACTGACTAAATTCACTCAGCATAATGCCTTCCAGATTCCTCCATGTTATGTTTCACGGCTTCATCGTGTTCTTTATCGTTGCGTAGTATTCCATTATGTGAATATACCATAATTTGTTTAAGTGATAAACTTTTATTGTCCCCGTTTCATAGACAAGGAAACTGAAGTTAAGAGAATGAAATAATTTTCCAAGGACATAGATGGAATATGAAACAGTGGGATTTGAACCTGATCCTTTCCTTTTCCAAAGTCTCCATACTCTTATCAAGTATAAGTCTCAAGCATCACCTTGCTTTTCCATTCATTCAATAAGCATTACATTTTTGGTATCACAGTGGTTAAGCACTACGTTCCTCATCAAAATGTTGGCAGTTTGAATCCACTAGCCCTTCTGTGGGAGAAAGATGTGGCACTCTGCTTCCATAAAGCCTTGGAAACCCTATGGGGCAGTTCTACTCTGTTCTATAGGGTCTCTATGGGTGGGAATCAACTCAAAGGAAATGGGTAGGGGTATAATTTGTTGGCACTCACTGTGACTTCACTCCCGTGCTGCAGATGGTGAAGGCGTTTATCGTCCTGGCCCCAGAGTTCTTGTCCCATGACCGGGACCAGCTCACCAAGGAGCTACAGCAGCACGTGAAGGGAGTGACAGCCCCATACAAGTACCCAAGGAAGGTGAGCATGCAGATGGATGGGGTCTGGCCCTCCTGGCTCGTTCTGGTGCTCAGCTCTCCCGAGTCCGCCAGGGTGGAGAGGGCTAAGCTTAGGTAAACAACAGCACTAGCTTTTTTCCCTGCAGAAAAAACAATTCAACTCTAGGATGGGATGGGGCAGACTTATTGGATGGGAGTGTCTAGCCTGTGTCAGACACCAAAAAGAAACTCATTGCTGGCAAGTTAGCCTAAAGAAAAAAATCAGACAAGTGTCCAAAGACATACATGCAAGATGGTTATTTATAATCCTGCAAAATGTCAAAAAGTCCAAATCAGCAGCTTCCAAACTTACTGTAACATGATTCACAGTATGAAATACATTTTGTATTGCAACCCAATACATACATACATTAATATAACATTACAAAAGCTAATAAAATATGTATCCTTATAACTTGTAATACATTCAGTATTTTCTATTTTACTTCATTTTTTTAAATGCTGCTTGCAAATTACAAAATTCATTTTACAACTCACTACTGGGCCACAGCCTATTGATTGAAAATCATTGATCTCAATGTCCAAAACAGAGAAGTCATTCAATTATTCATGGAATTAACATTGGCTCCTCTCAGTGGCACAATGGGTTTAAGTGCTCGACTGCTAACCAAAAGGTCACCAGTTCAAACCCTCCAGCTGCTCCCTGGGAGAAACATGTGACAGTCTGCTTCTGTAAAGATAATAGCTTTGGAAACCCTATGGGGCAGTTCTACTCTGTCCTGAAGGGTCACTACGAGTCAGAATCGACTTAATGGCAATGATTTTGGTTTTTTTATACTTAAAAATGATGATGCATGTATTTTATTTTTTGGCATAAAAAGATCTCGACTGTACATTATTAAGAGAAAAAAGTAGAATATGGAATAGTATATGTAGTATGATCCTATTTGCTTAAAAACAAAGTTTGAAAGGATACAGATGCCAAAGACTTAACATTTCCTTCTTTTATAATACTTTGCTGCATTGTTTGAATTTTTACAATCAATACATATTATGTAGCTATAGGGCTAACATTTATTAATCACTTACTCTATGTGCCAGGCCCTGTAGTAAATGCTCTACATGTAGTATTATCTCATTTAATCCTTGCCACAACCTGCTATGGTATAACTAACCCATTCTACATACAGGAAACTAAGACACAGACAAAGTAAATGGCCTGAAATTCCAGCTAACAAAAGGCAGAGCTGGAACTCAAACCCAGGTGTGTCTGACAACAAAGTTCATGCTTTTCGTTTTAGGCTATGCTGCCTCATAGCTTCCAGCATCATAGCAACACCCAAGCCACCACAGTAGGACAAACTGACAGACAAGTATTACAAACATCACCAGGACCACCCATGGTGGACGGGTTTCAGTGGAGTTTACAGACTAAGACAGAACAGGAACAAAGGCCTGGCAATCTACTTCCAAAAATTACCTAATGGGAATCCTGTGGATCACAACAGAATATTTTCTGATGTAGTTTTGGAAGATGAGCCCCCTAGGTTGGAATGTACTTAAAATACACAGTGGCCAATACAATGGGCTTGAGCTTACCAATGATCATGAAGATGGCACAGGATCAGGTAACGTTTCATTCTGTTGTCCTTGGGGTCGTCATGAGTCGGATCCAACTCAATGGCAACTAACAGCAACAACAATGCTGCCTCATAGAGAACAGAATAAATGACGTGCAGCATTAGGTGGGCTAGGTTATAATGTGGGTAACAAACAGCCCCAAAGTCTTAGTGGCCTATAGCGATGAAAGTTTACTACCACGGGTCTTCTGGGAACTCTGCTCCACGTCCCCTCACCCTGGGACCAGGGCAAGGTGCAGTTACCATATAGACACCTGCCAGGTGCTATGCTGATGGGAAGACAAGCTGGCCAGCCTCCCATCTGAAGGGTTCTGAACTCTTCTGACTAGGGGTGACACACTTCACAGTTCACTGGCCAAAGCAAGTCACGTGGCTACATTCACCCTCGGGGAGTCAGGAGGAGGACCTGAGATACCTGGTGAGCCCCACAGATGTCACCACATGGTGTCAGCCTGTCTGGGGTCTGTGCAGGTGACAAGAAGGTGAGTGGGAAATGGAAGGAAATGACAGCAGGACCGAGTCAGGTCGGATTTGCTTTCTCCCTGTCCAGGTGGAGTTTGTCCCAGAGCTGCCCAAAACCATCACTGGCAAGATCAAACGGCATGAACTTCGGAAAAAGGAGTTTGGGCAGATGTAATCAACAGCCAACTCAGGCCCACTAAGTGAACTTGGGTACACCCCTGGCTGCCTCAGTTTCCCCAGTGTGGTTGGAGGGAGGTGTGTTGAGAGAGTTGATTTCAAAGGGGATCAGGAGCGCCTAGACTCCTGCATTTTTCCTCTCTGAAGTTAAATTCAGTCACTACCCCTCCTCCAACTGCTCTGTACCCTTGGGGTTGGCCAGGTGAGCACTAGGACTAGGGCTGAGGGTAATAAAATGTCACCATCAATGTCAACAGCGCCCCTGTTTTGTGAGCTTGCTCTGTGCCTGGGCCTGTGCTAAGCGCTTCTCAGTACTTCCTCTGCAATTCTCCCCAACCCCCAATCCGAAATATCCCAGGCTAGATGGATTCTCCCTGCTGGATCCAGCATCATATGGTGGCACCATGTGCCCATTCCCACGGCCAAGGACACTGAGACGCAGAGAGAACCTCCACATGGTCCTAGGCTCCGGCCCTGCTGGGCTCCTCCTGGGCCCCACAGGAGGGTGAGCCCAGGGATGGCCCAGGAGAGGTGTCTGGAGGCTTGGCCCTTGCGTGGTGGCTGCACTCGCTGGCCAGATAGGCCAGCACCTGCCACCATCCGGTGGGTCTGTCACCTTTGTGCCTGACAGTAATGCTGTTGCTGCTGCTGCCGCCCCAGTTCCTGGCCACCACATTGAGTGAGAGACCAAGGCACCCTGGGGATTGAAGTGTGCCAATGACTCCTCAGACCTCCCCAGATTTGCTGCCCACTCACCCCTAACCAGGGCCCCAGGAGCCCTCCCCATCGTGTTTCCCTAGAGATCTCCCCCACTCAGCCCCTCCCCAGGGATCCAGGACTCCCCCAACCCTCCCACCAACCCTCAGCTACTTACCCCACCCCAAGGACAGACAGCCCTGCAGACCTCCAGCCCTCTCTAGGGACACCCACTCAATCAACCCTTGCAGGGACACAGACCCCCCCCCCAAAGCCCCTCCCCAGGTGCCCACACACCTCCCCAGACACCGTTCCCACTCACTATAACCCTCTGCAGCTGCCCCCAGCTGCGGATCCTGTGAACTGACCTTTCACTCCCTTCATCTTTGGGGCCTAAAGTGGGACCACTAGGAGGACACCAGAGGCTGAGAGGATCAAGGGCAAAAAGGCCCAGTCATACCTGAGGGAAGAGGACGGACATACTGTCTCCTCTCACCCACCCCAGGGGTGGCCCTCGAAGAAGTCCCCTCTGAGGCTGTGCGTTCCTGGGTGCGCACACACACACACACACACACACACACACTCAGTTGGAAGTGTACAGACATGACAAGCTCAGAGATGCACAGACGAGAGCCACCCAGCCTCTGCTGGGCACACAGGTATGGGCTCATGGACAGGCTCACATGGCCCCACACTGCAGACCCAGGCATAGACAGTGCAGAGAGCACATGCACACACAGACACACACTCAGGGTCAACCAAGACAGCCCCCAGAACAAACTGACACACGATGGACATACGCACACACAGATTCACACTAAAAAACACCCAAAGGAGCAAATTCACACACACACAGATCAAAAACACAAACACAGACACTCCAGGAGGGACACACATGCCCAGATATACATGGTCTTAGACTCAGTTCTCTAGAGAAGCAAAACCAGCAAAAAGTATAAGTATGTATATATAAAGAGAGCTTTATATCAAGGAAATGGCTCACGCAGTTGTAGAGGCTGGAACATCCCAAGTCCGTGGGTCAGGATAGAGGATTCTTCTGACTCACACAGCCACAGGGGCTGGTGAACCCAAGATCAGCAGGTCAGCGAGCAGGGCTCTTGCTCACAAGCTGCGAAGATCAATGAATCCCAAGAACGGCAGGCAAGACCACAGGTAAGCTGCTAGCTCAAGTACAAAGAACCAGAGGTCAGATGAACAGGAGCTACCTGCAGGATCCAGAACAAGCAAAAGCCCACAAGCTTTGCTGAATGTCTGCTTATATTCGATGCAAGGGAACTCCCTTTCAACTAACTGCTACTCCCAGCAGGTCCCATTGTCAGGGTGATCACACATCAAATCTCAACAGGGAAGTGATCACAACATTACATGACTGCCAAAACACTGAGAATCATGGCCCAGCTAACATGACACACAATCTTAACCAACACAGTCTACCCCTTGTCAACCTGGCACCTGTACGCATCTCCTTAAATCATACATAATCTCTGAATAAAGAAAATTACAGTCATACATGCACCTAACATGATACAACGATCATACATACAACCAAAAATGCACAAACCATGTTTATATCTTGTATTTTATAAGTGAAGAAAACAAAAATATTTGATGCACACATATAAAGCAGAAATACTCATAACACTTACAGCCCTTGTTTCTGCAGCTGGTCATGTAGTCATATTCTTTCACCACCCATTCCATATTCCCTTTGCCCTCAGCAAGCACTTCAGCTGGTCGTGGCTCTTTACCTGGTGGGGTGACCAAATCTTCATTCCTGAAGAGTCTGGGACATTAGCAGTCATGCTGGAATTGGGATGCTGTAGTTTTCCATTGACTTTCATTACAGAGCGTGGTAGTACTAAGAGATGCCCTAAGGGATTTCTTGCATTCCAGACATACTCTTCTTTACCTCCATTATGTAATATCAATCCCATTTCCTCTTGGTAATCAGGATAAATCACACCAGCCAGTATCGTAACTCCCTTCTTTGTCGATCCAGAGGCATAAGGAACCCAAAGTGGCAAGGTGGCATTCTAAGCTTCGAATTCAGGGAATCAGTGATAAGTCTCCAGGTGGGAGCATTCCTCCCTTTGGAACTAAGACCTCTAGACCTCCAGGGCATAATGTAGTGGGGACAGGAAGCAAAAATCTTGTGAATGAGTCACTAGGAGTAATAGTGAGTGGTGCCACTCCCATTTCTACCCCTTGATTCCTGGGCCCATGAATCTTGGCAACTGGAGATATAGCAACATATACTGGACACTGGTTTAGAGCATATACAACCTCCTGAGGAACACTGCCCCAACCCTGCAAAGTTTCCCACCTAGCTGGAGCTGTAATTATGTCTTTAGGAGACCATTCCATCGTTCTATCAAGCCAGCTGCTTCAGGATGACGGGGAACATGGTAAGACCAGTGAATTCCATGAGCATGGACCCACTGCCGCACTTCATTTGCTGTGAAGTAGGTCCTTTGATCTGAGGCAATGCTGTGTGGGATACCATAAGAGTGGATAAGGCATTCTCTAAGTCCACAGTTGGTAGTTTTGGCAGAAGCACTGTGTGCAGAGAAGGCAAATCCACATCCAGAGTAAGTATCTATTCCAGTAAGAACAAAACACTGCCCCTTCCATGATGGTAGTAGTCCAATGTAATCAACCTACCACCAAGTTGCTGGCTGATTACCACAAAGGATGGTTCCATATCAGGGACTCAGTGTTGGTCTCTGGCATATTGGGCACTCAGCAATGGCTATAGCCACATCGGCCTTGGTGAGTGGAAGTCCATGTTGCTGAGCCTGTGCATAACGTCCGTTGATGCCACCGTGGCCACTTTTTTCATAAGCCCACTAAGCAATGATGGGAGTAGCTGGGGGAAGAGGATGACTGGCTTCCAGAGAATGTGTCATCCTATCCACTTGATTGTTAAAATCCTCCTCTGCTGAGGTCACCCTTTGGTGAGCATTCACATGAGATACAAATATATTCACTTCTTTGGCCCATTCAGAGAGGTCTAACCACGTACCTCTTGCCCATAGCTCCTTGACTCCAATTTTCCAATCATTTTCCTTCCAAGTCTCTGACCATCCAGCCAAACCATCGGCCACAGCACATGAATCAGTATATAATCACACATCTGGCCATTTCTCCTTCCAAGCAAAGTGAACAACCAGGTGCACTGCTCAAAGTTCTACCCATTGGAAGGATTTTCCTTCACCACTGTGCTTCAGGGAGGTCCCAGAAAGGGGCTGTAGTGCTGCTGCTGTCCACTTTCAAGCAGTGCCTGCATATCGCGCAAAACCATCTGTAAACCAGGTATGAGTTTTCTCTTCCTCAGTCAACTGATCATAAGGAACTCCCCATAAGGCCACAGGTGCAGACTGAGAGATGGAAAGTGATGTGACGGGAGCAGAGACCATGGGCATTTGGGACACTTCCTCATGCAACTTAGTTGTGCCTTCAGGTCCTGCTCAGGTCCAATCTCATATATACCACTTCCATTTAATGACAGAGGGCTGCTGTGCACATTCTACTTTATGACTCTGCAGGTCAGACAACACCTAGTCATGATGGGAAGCTCAGGCCGCATGGTGACTTGGTAGCTCGTGGTTAAGCATTCAGTCTCTACTAAGGCCCAGTAACAATCCAAAAGCTGTTTCTCAAAAGGAGAGTAGTTATCTCCAGAGGATGGCAGGGCTTTGCTCCTAAATCCTAAGGGTTTGAGCTGTGATTCACCAATAGGGGCCTGCCAAAGACTCCAAACAGCATCTCTGCCACTGACACTTCAAGCAACATTGGATCAGCTGGATCATATGGCCCAAGTGGCAGAGCTATTTGCACAGCAGCCTGAACCTGCTGCAGAGCCTTCTCTTGTTCCGGGCCCCACTCATAACTAGTAGCATTTCAAGTTACTTGATAAATAGGACAGAGAAGCATACCCAAATCAGGAATATGTTGTCTCCAAAATCCAAAGAGGCCCACTAGGCATTGTGCCTCCTTTTTAGTTGTGGGAGGAGCCAGATCCAGTAACTTGTCCTTCACATTAGAAGAATTATCTCAACATACCCCACACCACTGGACCCCTGGAAATTTCACTGAGGTGGAAAGCGCCTGAATTTTTGTGGGATTAATTTCCCACCCGCTAGCACGCAAATGTTTTACCAATAAGTCCGGAGTCACTGACACTTTTTCCTTACTAGGTCCAATCAGCATAATGTCATCAGTGTAACAGACCAGTGTGACATCTTGTGGAAGGGAAAGGCAATCAAGGTCCCTGTGGACTAA